TAGCTGCGGCAAAATTTTCTTGACTTTGATCGAAGGTATCTCGACACCCACACAATCAAATTCGATGAATTTTTTTTATTTGAATTCTGCAGTTCTGGAGAATTCAAATAAAAAAAAATTCATCAAATTTGGTTTTGTGGGTGCCAAGTTACTTTCAATCGAATTTAAAAAAAAACATAATTTACATATAGGTGTGAAAATATCAAAAAAGGGTGTGGAAAAATTGGGACCCTATGTAAAAATAGAATCCAATTCTTATCTAATTATTACGTACTAATCAATACACTGTATTTGAAATTTTTATCCAAATAATTCCAAATATTTGAAATTTTTATCCAAATATTGGCCAACATTCAAATAAATTTTTACCAAAATTTTCCGGGTTTTTGATATTTACATACAAAAAAAAAAAAAATTAAATGATATAGATATATAAAATTGCAAAGTATATATTACATCACTTAAAACATTTGTATATTGCTACATATCACTCTCCACAAATTTTTTGAATACTTCATGACATGTTGCCTATATTTCTGTATCAGCATTGCATCTCTCAAAAGATAGGGTTCTATTTCTGCCGAAATGTCATATTTTTTAACTATAGTTTTTTCCTCAGGGCGGTTTCCTATTTTTACACATTCCGATAACATCTTAGTCACTTTAAATAAATAGAACGTGGGATATGTTCTAAGAAGTGTTATACAGGGGATCAACTGTGCTTCTAAATGTGAATTAACTTTACTATTTCTCTGAAATGATGCAATTGCTTCTGCAATAACTTGAGATTCAGCATCGGTAATTTGATTGGAATCTTTATGACTTTTATCTGCTTGTACTAACAACTTGATTACAAGATGAGATGATATGAACATATCAGGTTTTGCATATGTTTTGATCCACACATTTCCAACTTCAATTTTTCTCGAGATTGTATAAAAATATCACCATCATCATAATTAAAAAGTTCAAGCGTAGATTTTGCAAGATCATCTACAGCACTTTCGGTGGTTGAACGAGTCCTTGTCACGATTAGTATTAATTTAATAACTCTAGAAGCTTGTACATGTTTTAGATTTTTCCAATCTATACTTGATAAAACATCTACTTTAGATAGATCTACGGATAATACTTCTTTTACTTGATCAGATAAATTTTCGATCTTTGGAGGACTTTCTTGAAAAAATTTTTCGAAATTTTCCACATTAACAGTTTCTATTCTGAAATATTCAAGTTCTTTATTACTCCATCGCGAACCTGGAATTGCAATGAGTTTTTGATTCGTGCTGAAATTTTTAGCAATTTTGTTTCTAATGATAGGAAGGATGATCGGTCTGCCTAACGTTAAACAGAGATACATCTTTGAAGTTAGAAAATAGCGAATTTTGATCTAATTTAGATCTAATTTATATAACTAGGCATGTGCTTTGTGATACCTTAATTATTAAAATGGAATCTTCATTCGCATTGTTATAAATAAATAGCTGCGCAACGCTTACGGTGCTTTATAAAGAAAAATTATGATGTAATTATGACAACACTATTATTATGTAAAAATATTTTTTAGAGAATCTAATTCTTATCGTTATCTAATTATTACGTATTAAACCAATACGCAATTTACAGATGCAATTAGGACTGATATATAATAAATGGATATATGTATCTTATTCGTGGGTAATATACAAAGTACAGACCCATGTGCGTTAGAAAACACTACCGCTACGGGTAAGAAACTTTAAGATGGCAAAAAAAGCAAAATGAAAAAATATTTCTAACATTGTTAGTTAGCAGTACGCCATTAATCGCGTCGTACGTACGTACGTATGTAACAGGTAATTGAGCCAGATACACGATTTTAGTTAACTATCATTGGTTGCACATATAACCAATCGTTAATTGAGTCACTAATGCTACGTAGTACCGATGCCTATATAGGTGTCTATTTATATCGTCAAAATTTAAAATCAAAGTTAGGGCCCGTGCATTAAACATTTTTTTTTTAGGCATGTGCCGGGTATGCAGAACCCTAGTTAGTATCCCAAAATACAATAAACTAAATGTTATAATTACCATCGATAGAGTTACCGTGTACAATTTGAGCATAATTAACATAATGAACATAATGTACATGGTGAATGATCGAACATTTTGAACATAGTGAACATAGTCAACAGAGTAATTATGTACTCAATAATTGTAAGAAAGTATTTAAGATTTACCTTTTCACTTCAATAAAGAAGAGAGCTAGAGCTGAGAACTGCTAGAGCTGGATAGTTGAACACTGAATCGTATAGTGTTTCGCTCACATTCCCCTCCCTGATTAGTGAATAATTCGATCAGTATAATTCAGAATTAGAGCATCATGACGTAATCTAGAGCTCTAATCTAGTGACCCTAATAACTCTGGCCAAGTTCTGTACAAATTATTAGAATTACTTTATCTGTGAAATGATCTGTCGGTGAAAAAAAAAAATTAAGAAATGAACATGTCGGTAAAAAAAACTGTCTATGATGTGAACTTGTCTGTGAATTGGTGCCTGTAAAATAAACATGTCAGTAAATTGATTGGTTTGTCCATAAAAGAAGCGTCGGTGAAATGAAGTGAGCAGAACCGCTTTCGGTAGCCTTCTGCTATTAGGTTCTCAACGTTTCACTTAACAAGGGATCTGAATTCAGCATTACAAATGGTAATTCTGATTTGACAAGAAACTTCTTGTTTTAATCCTTTGTCTGAACTTGGTGTCAATTGCATTTAAATTTTGTATAAAAATATTGTGAAATAATTTACGGTAATTAATAAACAAATGTCCCACACTTTTTGATAAAGCTATCCCTACTTCCCTTTCATAATTTTCTTTTATCGATTTTTTTTCTTTTTTTTTTTATAAACCGTGCATGTAATAACGCACATGTGCGCCTCAATAACGCGCTTCCACATATGTATGCACCAGGGTGAAGCTGCATGCACGTTTCGAAACAATGCACAGGGGCTCAAAATAATGTGTAAATGCGCATTATTGTTCGTTCGTTTATGCAGTATGCCAAATTTAACCCTGATGCCTGTAGAACCACCTACTTATGACAGAAATTTCTTATGGAAATAGCAGTAAAAAAAAAAGCTATTGATTCAGAAGTCATAAATCTTACAATTATGTGTAATATAACAATATTAAGCAAAGGTGAAGGAGTTAGTTAAGAGATAGTGTAAAGGAAGTTATTAATATCAACATTATGAAAGGCATACAATATAGAATGAATTAATAAAATTGAAATTAAAGTATAATATTAACTGAAGTTAAATGAATGCTACTATTAGAGCATTCGTTTAAATTTAAAATCATCAAAAAAAAAAAGTTCGTTAGTTCGAGATATAGGCATTATAAGACCACTGTCCATTTCCGATTTCACGATGAATATGTCGTCGAATAATACCGATATCGCAAGAATGCGATGCGTCTTTATTGATGATTTTTGATTTAAATGAACACTTTGAGCCTTAGCATTCATTTAAGTTATTGATAACGGTACTGCATTCCTAAGATAAAAGTATTGTAATATGAATAATGGTAAACGATCATTTTCTTTCATAAATTCTGCCGCAACATTTAACATTCGTTTAAATACAAAATCATTGATAATGAAACTGCCATTCTCAAATTGCATAAATATAATAATTTTCTGAATACTTTTGTCTCGTACTTTAATATCAAAAAAAAAAAAAAAACCTACTCATTTAGATAAATGATATAGTGTTCGAGAACATAGTTTTTTAACATTTGTAAAATTTTTTCTTTTTTTTTTGCTAAGATAATATCATCACATTCTGTTGTCTAATAATAACTATATTAAAAGTCTTGCTGTTTTACGTATAAATTGATATATTAATGTCATACGTACTTTGAATTAACATAGATTTTTATAGACAAGTTAATAAGGTAAGTTGATAAAGTCATTTTTGGCTATCGAACCCAAATTTTAATATTTTGATCGACTTTGAATCAACCTTGCAGTTCATACGCCATAACCATTAATATTATATAGCACTAACAGAAAATAATACACAGTGCACTATATATATGCATGTATATTTGAGTGGACTAGGTATTAAGCTAGAAATTTATGCATGCATTAATGTATCATCATATATTTTTATCGAGGGAACAATTACAGTTACAGAATATACATTTCATTAATTTCATTAATTAGAGATAATACTATCGGTAATTACAGTTACAGAATATTCATTTCATTAATTAAAGATAATAATATCAGTAATTACTGTACAGATATAGAATATACATTTCATTATTAATTAAATCGGTACATACAACCGTACTAGCAACGTCCTGTCAACTATGAATAAAACAATAAAATCTCCTATAAATTCTCCCTATAGCTAGAGCGAAATATCAAATACATGTGATCACGATTGATGATTACTTAAGTACTAGAATCTGTTTTATTAAAAGTTACTTACTCGTTACTACTATGATCGTTTAAACCACGATATTGTTTTGCAGATCTTTATATTAATAAAACGAAAATATCTTGGCAACTTGGCTGTCTTGATTGGATTTTTTTTAGACTAATAATAAAGTTCCTAAATTTAACATTTATTCATTTTCTGCAATGTATATCGATATTAAATAAAATTTAAATTATGCTAATCCTTAAACGTTAAATCCCTTTAAAGAAATCATTTACATAATCATCTTTTAATATGACCACTTGGTATGATTTTTATATTACTTATATAAATTTTAAATTTTTTTGATGATGATCAACTAGCTAGATATTTCTTGGATTATTTATCGTTATTAAAAAATTTATTAATTAAATTATTCTCAATACCGGTAAGTTCCGTATGTATTGTAATAAGAAAATCGGTATGGTACTAGAGAAATGTTTACGATCCAAACAAAATTTAAAAATAATTTCAGAATTTCAATAATTAATATTGAGTAATTAATAAAAATTTATGAATCTCATTATTATTATCCTTTAATAAGTAATCCATTAAAAGATCATTTAAGAAAAAAGAAAGTATAATGGTTTGGGAAGTTACAAATTTGAAGCAAAATTCATTGATATATTTATAATAAATGCATTAATATGTACAAGAAATATATTAATTGCATCTATAACTATTACATACGCAAATAACTATGATCTATCAAATAAGTAATTTTAAAATGTCCGAAAAATCCAAAATTATTAAAAAATTATTAAAAATTTAGAATAAAAAAGCTAAGCTCACAAGTTTGAACTAATTATAATTCTTTTATTTTTCGAGATATGGACAATACCATTGTGTAACATAAGTAATGTATTATGCGTATGCAATTTGAAATTAAAATGAACTTGTAAATTACGTTAATTTGTTAAAAACCATTATTAGAATGTTCTGCACTTTATTTCTACTTTAGTAAAAATACGTATGCAAAAAAATTATTTGATTATTTTTTTGGAGATGTAGGAATCTTGTACGTACACTATAGTGAAATTTTTAACAAACATTAATCCGGATATAAGACCCCGTACACAAATGAAAATTTGAAAGAGTTGAACGACTGAAAGTTATGCATAAAAATAGAAGATACCAAGATACCAAAGCTGCATAGTAGTATTTAATACTACATAACATTATTATTATTGGATATATGCTAAAAAAAAATTATTATCGTTGTTCGTTGTTTCAATTAATTATTTTCAAGATGTAATTCATAAATTGGTGTACAGAGTTTTATTTTAATTCTGTAACAAAATAAAAATCCCTAACGTTAATTGTTTGTGCAAGTCTAAACAAAAGTGTAGTTACATGTAGATTATATATTATGATTTTGTTTATATAAATCCCTCGTAGGCGGTTTTTGGCAATTCAAGATTTGGTCTTCGAAATCATACAATTACTATTAAATCTTCGTTTGGTTCTATATTTTCATATTTGAAACTGAACCCTGAACGACCGCGTTGAACGCATACATATACGAATTTTTCATATTTGAAACTGAACCCTGAACGACCGCGTTGAACGCATACATATACGAATATATAACGAACTATTTTACACTCCTTTTTTTTTTTTTTTAACAGAATAAATTTTTTTCTTTTTCGTTTCGATAACGAACTAGAATTTTATTTTTTTTTGATTTAATAGTAATCATTCACGAAACGATCTTCACCTTAACGTACTTTAAGAAAAATTTTTCTTAATAATAGTTAAAAAATGTCGTCAAAGATTTCAATTCGTCTTTTCATCTGCACCTTATTATTCGCTCTCCTTATCATCCAAGCTCTCGCAATTCCCATAAGCTTACCGAAACTTTCTCAAAAAGCTAACGCTAATAAAGCTCTTCAACCAACTTCCGCTTCAAATGCCAAAACACCAAAATCTACCGCAGCAGCCGTCAAAAAAGTTAAAAAAGCTAAAAAGCCCACAAAAACAAGCGTTGCAGGACCACAAAAGTCTTCGACAACAGATGGTCAAAGTTTAGTCCAAAAAGTTACGAAAGCTGCGGGATCAGCGGGACAAGGATCTGCTACATTTTATAATACAGGATTAGGTGCATGCGGTATTACAAGTAATGACCAACAATTGGTAGCCGCATTACCAGCTGCAGAATATGATAAATTGATCCCAGGCGGTAATCCAAACGCATGTACTGCTTGTGGTAAAACGTGTACAGTAAGTTATCAAGGCAAAACTGTTGATGTGAAAATTGTTGATAGGTGTCCTTCATGTGGTAGTGGTGACATTGATTTGAGTCCAGCAGCTTTTAGTTGCCTTGCAGACCAAGCTTTAGGACGTATACAAGTTAGTTACACGTGTGATTTTTAAATTAATTTAATGAAATTAAATTTAGTTGATTTGATTTATTGTAATGAATTTTAAATAATGATAATAAATTTATACATATAAAAAGAAATACCTAAAACTTTTCATTTGCTTTGTAATTTGTTATTTCTATTTATATACTTTTATATATATATATATATGATCATATATAATAATGTTATTTTACGTATAGTGACAGCAGTGAAGATGATCTGGATCAGATCAGCCAAAGTTTTTAAATCGTTAACAAAATTTGTGATAATAACAATAATCTCAATCTCAAAAGGCAGGATCGGTGGAAATGATATTTTTGTTTATCCGCATATGGTCAAAAATTTAAGTACTGATTGTCAGTTGTGTTAAGTACGTACGTACGTACCTGAAAAGTGTTTCAAGTCATTCGTTATTCATTTTGTATCATGTGATACCAAATACTATATTCTAAATATGAAATATAAAGTATCTTTGATTTTCGGTAGAGATGTTATTAATCGGTTTTTATAATAGTTAAATATACAAGCCGATAACATCCCTAATTTTCGGGTACGGGTAAATATTATAACGAATTCTGCATGATATATGAAATAGTACGTACGTACGTGCGTATGTTTATTCTAAACCTTCATTATAGAACCTGCTACTATATTTGGAGGTTATCATATGAAAGTATAATATAGTTATATACTACGGGTCTTATTAAAGAAACAGGCAGGGTCTTAATCACAGAGAGGTGGGGGTACTTTATGCAAGCAATGCTAAACGATAGATTTCAAAATATTTATTATAAACAATTCTACAGTACAGTATACATTAAGTACTATTTATTTCCCGCAACAGCGGGAATAAGAGGTACATCCCCGGTCTGGGCCCACAGCAGGGTGGAGGTCTACCGGGTTATTTCCCCGTAGCGGCGAAATAAGGGCATTATTCTTCGTTTTTATATGATGCCATGATGGCTTTACGACTCATAATCACTGATTTAATCAATAAAAAAAATCGAGTTTCTAGCAATGTTTGTTATTTCCTCGGTTATTTCCCCGGAAGTCCGGGAAATAACAAACATTGCTAGAAACTCGATTTTTTTACTGATTAAAGTAGTGATTATAAGTTGTAAACCCCGTCATGCGATCATATAGAAACGTGGAGTAATAGTTAATATTAGGATTGTTTTCATCAATCGTGAATCTTATAGACTCGAGTTATTCTTTACTTAGGTCAATTTTTAATATAACTATTATACATTATCAGTCTGCAAAAAAAAAAAAAAAAAGTAGTTTATCTGTTAAAAATTCATTGTTTAAATATTTCTGTAAGAAAAATTTTTTTTTCTTATAATATTTAGCGTTACTTTCTTTATTAGAAAAAAAAAAGCTCGTTATAGAAATTGCTATGTTATATTAAGAGACCATAACGCTTTTTTATCCTAAACTGTTATAAACTTTAAATTTAAGATCTCTAGAAAGAGGTTCGTTATATAAAATTGACTATATATAAAAAAGTTTATTGAATATACTATTAAGTTCGTTAAATAGTTTAGTTTTTTAAAAAAGAAAAAAAAATATGTTTTATATATTTTAGTATATATTTAAAATCGTTGATGATTATACGGTTTATGCACTCATCACGTTTAGAATACCATGAATAAATAAATCATGTCAATGAGCAACTAGTTTTATATTATCTAAAAAAGAATAAGCAGCGGTAGGTTTACCGTTATTTTCAAATTTATCAATTTGACGTAAATTAAAAATAATGCAGAATAATGTGAGTTTTCTATACCGAAATTTTGGGGGGAATTTTTCTTTGGATGCAAAAGACAGTTTCATATACAAAGCTTCACTACTTAAGCGTATGTTACACTGCCACTCACTTTGTTTATTTTTAGTGTCAAATTCAATCTTTGTGTAAACTTCAGGTACTTCATATGGAACTAAATATATATTCAGACTATGAAAGATTATAGTCTTCACATATCACCAGCGTTTGGTATTTTTACGGCACCTGTGCAGGATTCTACTATCCCGGATAATAATAATGCAATTTTCAGTCTAAAAGAGATAATCTTATAACGCGTAACTTTATCTCAGGTTAACTATCTCGTATTCATTACCGATAAACCATTTAGCTTAAATTCCAAAGACCGGATTCTCTCGTACTGTGTGCTTAAGGATCCTCCAAAGTATCCACAAAGATTTTTTAGATCCCTTGGAAAAAGAATACTATTTCAGAGAATCTTTTGAATATTTTCTGATTAAGTTTTTGCAATTGATAGTGAAGAATAGTTTTTTAAAGTACGACTAAAAGGAAGATAATAGGCATACCATGCAGTTTTATAAGTATTTTATTTATTTTACATTAATATCTATTTCAATTTTATTTACCAAACAATAAGTGACTAGCTTTATCTTTAATGGCAAAAAAAAAACTTGTGGAATTGGGCTTATTACTACAGAAATAATCTTTCTATATTATTTTTTTTCACGTTCAAAAATAAGTAGTTTTTTTTTTTTTTTCCGGTATTAAGGTGACCTCTTTGGCCGGGGAACATTTTATTAGGTAGTTATGTTTTTCAATTACAGTAAGGGTACATATAGCCACACGTGACCTTTTGAGTGCCTAATTTAAGTAGTCCGCCCGAAGGTTCTACACTATCTGCTGTACCTGTACCCCAACTAGGGGG